TCTGAGAGCAGCTTACTTTTATTTTAGTATTTGGAAGGAAAGTTTAGGCTGTAACCTGTATTTTATAGTTGGATTTCTGTGAAAGTTATTCAAGATATCTTTGTACTCAAAGCTGGCTAAGGACATATCCTTGAGATATCAGTGGAACAAAAAAACGTTGTTACTAAAACGTTTTTGAATTAACTCTGGAGAAATCCAATTAAGATTTTTTCAACGCAGTATAGTACCTTTTCCAATAACATTAAAAAAAAAAAAAGTAGTATTGATTTGTGTAGTGGGAGGAGTTTCTGAACTAGAGGTTGTATCCAGCTGGTAAAGACTTGCACAATGGCTCCTGGTCTGCCAAAAGCTCGGTAGTCTATATTAGCTCCCTGTTAATACAGATAGGCAGTAGCCGCTACTTACAAGAATATTGCCCAGGTAGGTTGTCATGCTATTTGGACTGCTTTGCAATACATGTATATCTTTTTAGTTCTGAGGATTTGCTGAGAGGTTTTGGAGCACTGAAATGCACTTGGATACACAGACAATTGCTGCGCTGAGTGGAATGGCTTCGTTCTCTTCAGCAGTAAAAGAAGAGCTTCAGCTGTTTGCCTGACCTGCACTGAAAACAGATTATTTTTAACCAGACCAGTTGGATTGTGGGGTTTTTTTTTCTTTTTTTTTCCTCTACGGTTCTTTTGCACTTAATGCTTGCTGTGGCTGTCTGAATATGATCTTTACTGCAGGTCAAGTGTGATTCATTAGTTTTTCTGATGATTGGGCCTGAGAAGCCACTGAAGACCAGAGCCGATGGCCTCAAGGTCTAGACGCAAACTACGTCTTGTAATAGCTGAAACTTTAGGGCTATCCTATGATTGTTATTTGGAATTACACTCGTTTACTTTGGAGGTGGTGAAGCTGTGGCTGAGGCCTCTTTCTGGCGCTAGAAACGAGATTGTTCATGTGTGAAACTAGTTAGTCACGTAAGCATAGTGAAAGAGATCACCTGAGATTTCATGTTAGCTGGAGAGAGACTGCGTTTTCAACGGGAGGAGGTAGGCGATGGCACCTCAGATGATCTCCAAATACTTTTTCCCCCTATTTTGTCAGGACTGCTTTTGTCTATGCTTTGTTTTAGATAGCTCCTCTTTGTTCAAGAACTGGGAAACGTTTTGATGTTTTTGTGGTAGCTGTATAGCTGAGGTATGTCGGGAGCTGCCGTCACGATGTTGGCGTCTTGGCCTGTGATTTCTTGCTGTCTTCCCGTACAACAGTGAAGGGAACTGAAAGATGACAGATCGATCTTTTGGCCTCTCCCAAAGCAAGCCTTGGGAGAGGATCGTTATCCCCGTCCTTTCTCTTTTTAGGAAAGAGCGGTAGGAACTGTTGCAGTGCTGCACCATCTCTCCCTGAATAACTGAAGGGAAAAACCAGTACCTTGGCATATGGTGCATCAAGAAATGAAAAGTCCTCCAGTAGTACGAGCACAGAAACCCACCTTGTGCTTCTCTCGTAAGTGAGAGCTCCTGGAACTGTTCTGCACTGGGTCCAGATCACCTCTCCAACGTCTCGGGCTGCCGTTATTAGACAATATTACGTTTACTGCGGCTCAGTGTTTTTTTCGTAGTTTTGATCAGATTGGACGTGAAAAAGTGGATTGATGAAGGTCACTTAAGATCTGCAGGTGACGTCGTAAGTACTGGACCTACATACTGCATTTTCCATGGACTTGGTGCGCTTTTTAGAAAGTTCTTACTTTCTGTTAGCTGTGACCCCAGCTGCTCTTTTGCCAGAAAGAGGCAACATGAGAAGTAGATCTAGCTACCCCCCCGCCACGTTTTCTTGAAGAACAGAGCTCCGTGAGGGTTTGAACTGAACAGAAGCAGGAGGACAGTAGTTACGAAAGGAACGGGAAGAACATGCAAAGATCAGCCTCCCTGGAGGAGGAAGCTATATAGGAGGATGAGAGGGGAAGAGAATCAAAACTTGTGAATAAAACCCAAGAGCAGGCTGGACAGATGATTGCTTTTTATTTCTCTGCAAGAATATTATCAGGGGAGCTGAGAGCATTTGGTTCTGTGTACCTGCCGGGAGCTTGATGGGAGTTTCACTTAATTAAATGGCTTTTTTGTTTCATAATTTGATTTGAAAATGACAGAAAAGCCGTAGAGTTCAAACTCCATTATAAAGCAATGCAGTCTCCTTTTTATGCAGTTTCTTTGAATGTGTTGACTATGTTAATATGAGAAGCGGGAAAAAAATTCAATGTTTAGTTTCTGATAAGCATAAGACATGCTTGTGGATTTACTCTTGCCTGTGGATAGCTAAATGACCACTTTTTATGCTTAAACAGGTTGGAAATACATCTGTGCTGTTGACCCCGACCAGATGATGTTCTTGAGTACTCCAGTGACGTCTAGGTACTACACTTAAAACGTTAGGTATAACTTTTCGGAAATAGTGAAACTTTTGTAAAATACGGATGACCATACGTACGTTTTCCTTTATGTATTCACTGGCTGAAATATGTAAGAAGCTACAGAAAACATTTAGGTTCCTTCATGCCATAAGGTGAGTCTGTCTGCTCCAGGGATTTAGAAACAAAGTACCATTTTTTTCTTGGTCCTTGCACCTCTTTCTTCATGTGGTGCTTGGAGCTTCTGCCCTACGTACCTCCTCTAATGGTACTAATAAGTTTTATAAAGTTCCAGGAAAAAGGGTATTTCTTGCAAAATGTGGGTTGCAAGAAGCAAAATAGCATCTGTTTTTCTCCAGAAGAGGGGATTTTGATGTAATTCCTGCTATTTCTTAGAAATGATTCCTATTCTGCTCAATTACTATTATTGAATGACCATTAAATAGACATGAATTCTGTTAAATGAAACAAAAGGATTTTTAATGATACTGCAGGTCGGAGAACGCCTAGCAGTAAGTAAGTATGAGCTGATTGAAAAGGAAAAGCCAATAAAATTGGATTTTTTTTCTTACGTGCCAAACCCTTGAAATAAATGTACTGTTTACAGTTATTAATCATATTCATTGATCAATAGTTTATAAAATGAATGTAAAAAATTTGCTGCTTTAGCAAGTTTTGGAGAGGCTAAATAAACTTCAGAACAAAACACCAGCTCTCTTCCTGTGACAAGCATGGTTAGTAGAGTTTCCTAAGTAATGTTAGAGGAAAAGGGATGCGGAGTATTTTGCTGTGATGTTTTACAATTTTAACAGAAATTACTGGCATATTTTAGTAATTATGATTTAAAAGTAATTAGCATCTTTTAATATTTACCTTGAAATGTAGTTTGTTGTGTGTTAAGTACTCTGCTTGCAAGTTGATTACTGCGTTTGTTAGCAATCCACCGTGCCTAAGATCTGCCAACTTCAGGCCTACCTGTTGGTGTTGGTGGTTTTATTTTTATTTTTTTTCTTCTTTTTCTGGGGGTGTGGGGGGGTGGGAGAGGTTGGGGGGTTCCTGTTCTTTTTGTTTAAAGGGTAGGTCTAGAATAAGCCATGGGCCCCATGAGTGTTTCAAAGCTATTAGGCTAGTGTGAATCACTGCACTTACTGTGCTCAGAGCTAAGGCATCGCTCCCAAAGTAACTTTTTTATTATTGCAGCTATTGTCTAACACAGACAAGTAAAGTGAGGAATTATGCTCATCTAGGGTAGAGGAGAATGGAAATGTCTTTTAGTTTGTGAAGAGTCCTGGACAATTGTGTTTGATGTCAATAAATTAAACATTTGCTGAGAGGCAGCTAAGCGCAGGTCTCTGATCCTAACGTTTCATTAGGAACTGTCAGTAGGAATAAGCGGTCCTGCGCTTTGAAAACACTAGCACAGGTTTTTAGCCTTCAGTGGCATAAGGTGCCTACATCCTACTGTACTAAGCTTTGAGTAGTGCTAATTTAACTCGGGGATTCTTCTTCCTGCATCTTAGAGCTTTTTGTGCAATGCCCCCCCCTCCCTTTTTTTTTTTTTCTTAAGGTTCCTTAAGGCTTTTGAGATGCAACTAAATATTCCATACTTCAAAGGAACTGGAACGCTTTGTTGTTTGTTGTTTCTCAAGTTTGAGTTATGCATCTGAATTTTCAACGAGAAGGAATTATAATGGCTTTTGTGTATCTGCAGCGTTCATACGGTGATTGCGTCTGTGGATTTTCCCTGATTGTTGTTTAAAAAAAAAAAATAATGTTTCTTAATGGCAGAATGTTCCAATAGAGCGCTCTTGTTTTGGCCTTTTTCTAGAGGGGAGGAATATATACTCTTGTTGTAAATGACATGCTTAATCGATCCGAGTATGCCATTCATCTAATTACAATAGGAGATTATTAGGTTTCTAGGTAATCCTTTAAATTAGATCAGAAATCACTCTGTTTAACAGCTTCATGGTTCCTTTCAAATATAATTTTATTTTCCTACCATAATAAAGGAAAGAGGTGTTCTGTAGTCTCCGTTACTACGCTCGGAGACCGCTGTTGAACTTTCTTGCAATGTAGCTACTGTCCTACCTTGGAGTTTCAACAACGTTAAAATTGCAGCTGAGCGGCTCCTTCCTTTGGTGACTCTAATTCAAGTTTCCATTCAACAGTTCTTTTTTTTCTTTTTACTTCCAGAAATGAGCGCTGTGGTGAGCCCAGTACATCACGGTTGCTAATCACATACCCTGCCTGCAGATGTTGCGAGTCCTCCCACTGCGTTAAGATGCACTCATCTTCCCCTAATTGGGATTCGTATTCAAACACCACTGCAAGAAGCTGTGGTTCCCCCCACTCTGCACATGGCGGTCGTGAAAGCAGGCTTGCTTGCTCCTCTTTGCCTAACTCTCAGGCAATTTGCATTTAAAGGTTTAAAAAAAAAAAAAAACACAAAGCAAAACCAAAAAGAAAACGTAAAACAAACCCCAACCCCCAACGGTTGCTCTTCCTAAAAAGTGTTTCTTTTTAAAACAAGAAAGCTTGCACATGTTTCGCCCAACCTATTGCTAACAAATGGAGCATTTGTTTTCTTGAGCTTCTGTTACTGGTTTGATTTTTGTTGGGTGCTGATGCCTCTCAAGTAACAGGTTTTGTAATAAAGCCCGTTTAAACAGTTAGTAATTTTTGGTCGAAGATCTGCATTTCTGTTTGGGTTTCTCAGATCACTGTTCAGTTAAGAACCCCTCCTTTTTTTGGACAGAATATTTTCAGAGAAACTCAGATCTCTGTCTTACCATGGATGGTGAACATGCTCTGAGGGATCGCTGCCCGTTACCGCCAGTGTTTTTAATAGATGACTTGTAAATTCTTGACTTTTCTTCTCCGCAGGGTCCATTCAGAGCTGTTTAGCCCTTCACTAGTGCTGGACTGGGGAAGGCGATTGGTTCCCCTTCTTATTTCAGGCATTTCTAGCTACTGGGAGTGAAGCCGACTGCAGTGCCCAGGGGAGGTGTCTGTGACTTTTCCCTTTGCTGGGGATGGGTTGCAGTTGTGTATGTTCTTTCTGGAAAGAAACGTGTAAAGCCTTGGGGTGGTTGCTGGAGAATGGTGGCTCTTGAAGCTGCCCCAGCTCTGTGAGATGCACTCTGATGGGGCAGCACTCTGCTCCAGGAGCTGCCAGTCCCGTCATCGCCTTTGCTGCTGCCAGGTGCTTTGGAGCTGGAAACGAGCCAAACCATGGTACTGCCCTTACTTTCACTCCTCTCACACCACCTATTCAAAACATCAGGTGTTTTGGACTGCCTTCCCGTATGGCTATTGGTTGATACTGGTATAAATTGTTCACCATAAGCCATTGTCTTAACTTGGAGCTTGCCAGATTCTGTATCCCGAGTGCCACCTTTGTGGGGGTTTTTTTTGTTGTTGTTTGTTTTGGTTAAGCCCCAGCTGATCATTGCCCAGCAGGTGGTGATACAGTTGCACTTAGCCTTGGATTCTCTGCTAGTACGCTAGATTTTAAAATTATCTCCTCCACTCTGGAGAATCTTTTTTTGTTTATTTTCATTGTATTTTTCCTTGACTACGCTCATGTAACAGGCTGCTATTGTCTTAGTCTCATACCTTAATGTTGAAAACATCTGTCATGAAATTTAGCTGTTACGTGAACGAGAACCTCAATTTATGACTTTTTCTAGGAAGATCTGCACGTGCTGTTTTAGTGCATACTGAATCAGTTGTTCTGTAACTTAGTGAAAGCTTAGAATTAAACTTCTCTCCTTCTTGCTACACATACCACATTGAATTGTCCCATTAATCCTCAAAGGCCAGGAAGAAATAAACTAAGGATTTTAAAGATTTATAGTTTGGGCATTTAAAATCAGTACAGATGTGCCTTTGTATGACTGTATTTTTTGCAGAATTTTTAACCTTCAGGAAACTGAGCACAAATGTAAGTCATGTACTGACAAATTGAAAATTAAACCCAAATTGCCCCGGGATCCTGATAAGGGCTCTATTGTTGTTGTTGTTCTCTGGTTTCTGAACTCCTAGAGTCCACCAGCTGCTTCCGGGCATTGCTAACGCTCAAGTTGCTCAGAAATGCCATTAAAGCAAAAACCAGCGTTTTCATGAAAAGTTGAAAAATTCCAGAACGTGTTGCTTTCAGAGAAAGGGGCCTCATTTACATGGAAACTTCAGTCCCAGGCAGAAAAAAAGAAAATGCCGATAACTTTGCTTGGTTCTTGCTTTCTTTTGGAGCACTGTTTGAGCTTTGCTGGTAGAAGAATTAATCTCTTGAACTCTTCTAGCGTTTTGCAGTGTGAATCAGGCCAGAATTACCCAATACAGCCAAAGAGGCAGCACTTGGTGTTTTTTGTTGAGTAAGTGCGGCTGACGGAAAGTGAAAATTGTTTCCTCAGCCTTATGCCACGGGGTCTTTGAGAGTGAAACGGGAGCTGTATCCAAAGAGTGTGAGTTGTATTTAGGTCCTCGAGGGCCTCAGACTTCATTGGGGGGCTGTAGTAGCAAAAAGGTGACATGCCTGTGAGTGAATTTAATCTAGAATATTGAAATGTTGCCGTTTGTCAAAAAAAGAGGATCTCATCTCCTTGGCCCAGGAACCCCAGGAGACCCTTTGATAAGGAGGCAGAGAGCGAACGGGAAGGCCGAGCTGCCCGCTGTGCCCGCTAATGCCAGCGAAGTGGCATTTGGCCTCTTCCCGTGGCCGCAGCGCTCCTCCTCTTTGCGTTTCCCAGAGCTCCCTCCATTTTTTGGCAGCTGCTTTGTCTCTCTGCTTTAGTCTGATGGCTGGTTCTTCCAGCTTCTGGTCAAATGTCATTGCTCGGCTTCTACAGGCTTTTTAACTTTTTTTAAAGCTTGCGTGATTAGTCAAAATGCTTATTTCATCCTGCAAGCGTAATCCTTGTGGCTTCCCAGCAATGCTGTGCACCTGTGGCAGCTAAAAAAATGACCTGCATGTGGCACGTGTAAGAGTTGATGGGGCTGCCT